CCAGGTGCACTGCTTGAAGTTCTACCCATTGGGAGGATTTCCCTTCACCACTGTCCTTTATGAGATCCCAGAAAGGGGCTGTAGTGCTGCTGCTATCCACTTACGAGTGGCACCCACATATCATGCAGAGACATCACTAAACCAAGTATGGATTTTCTGTTCTTCGATTAAATTACCATAAGGCACTCCCTAGGGGGCCATAGGTGCAGACTGGCAGAAAGAAGGTACTGTGACAGGAGTGGAGATTGTGGGCATTTTGGCCACTTCTTCATGCAGCTTACTTGTGCCTTCAGGTCCTGCTCTAGCCCAATCTGGTATATACCACTTCCATTTAACGATGGAGTGTTGCTGTGCACGTATAACTTCATGACTGTGGGTCAGACAATACCCAGTTCATGATGGGCAGGGCAGGTTTCATGGTGACTTGGTGGCCCATGGTGAGGCGTGCAGTCTCCATTAAGGCCCAGTAACAGGTCAACAGCTCTTTTTCAGAAGGGGAGTAGTTGTCTGCAGAGGATGGCAGGACTTTACTCCCAAATCTCAAGGGTCTATGCTGTGATTCACCAATAGGGGCTTGGCAAAGACTCCACACTGCATCTCTATCTATGACTGACACCTTTAGCACCATCGGGTCAGCTGGATCATATGGTCCCAGTGACAAAGAAGCTTGCACGACAGCCTGAACCTGTTGAAGAATCTTTTGTTGTTCTGAGCCCCACTCAAAATTGGAGGCCTTTGTGTGACTTGATAAATAGGTTGAAGTAGAACACCCAAATGTTGCCTCCAAAATCAGAAGAGGCCCACTAGGTGTTGTGCCTCCTGTTTAGGTGTTGGGGGTGCCAAATGCAATAGCTTATTCTTCTCCTTAGTAGGAATGCCTCGATATGGTCCACACCACTGGACCCCTAGGAAATTTACTGAGGTGGAGGGTGCTTGAATCTTCGTTGGGTTGATTTCTCAACTTCTTGCACACAGATGTTGTACCAATGAATCTAGAGTCTTTGATACATCCTCCTTAGTGGGTCCAATCAGCATAATGCCATCAATAAAATGGACTAGTGTGACACTTTGTGGAAGATATAGGTGCTCAAGGTCCCTTTGGAATAAATTATGGCACAGGGCAGGAGAGGCGATATACCCCTCGGTGAGAGTTATGAAAGTGTATGGTTGCCCCTGCCAGCTGAAGAGGCAAACTGCTTCTGGTGGTCCCTCGAACCTGGTATTGAGAAGAAGGCATTAGCCAGATCTATAGCTGCATACCAAGTACAAGAAGAAATATTAATTTTCTCAAGCAATAAAATCACATCTGGAATGGCAACTGCAATTGGATTCACCACCTAATGAAGTTACGATAATCAGCTCTCATTCTCCATGCTCCATCTGCTTTTTTGTTTTGTTTCACAGCCCAAATAGGTGAGTTAAACAGGATGTGGCAGGAATAAAATTGGGAAGACAGCTATTTGGTCAACTGACTGAAAAATATTCATATTTATACCCATTCCAAAGAAAGGGGACCCACTGCTCAAATTACAGGACAATATCATTGATATCACATGCAAGTAAAATTTTACTGAAGATCATCCAACAACAGTTGTAGCAGTTCATTGACTAGAAGCTACCAAAAGTTCACGTGGTATTCAGAAGAGGATGTGGAACAATTGCTGAAGTCAAGTGGATCTTGGCTAAAACCAGAGAATACCGGAAAGATGTTTATGTGCATTTTGCTCCCTTGACTATTCAAAGACATCCAACTGTGTGGATCATACCAAACTACCAATAGCCTTGAGAGGAATGCTTATGCAGAACTTGTACATGGATCAAGAGGCAACTCTGCAAAGAGAACAAGGGAATCTTGCATGGTTTAAAGTTAAGAAAGGTGTGCAACAGGGTTGTATCTTCTCACTATAATTTAAAAATATGTATGCTGAGCAAATAATCAAATCAACTGGATTACATGAAGAAGAACGTGGTATCAGGATTGGAGGCAGGGTTATTAACCACCTGTGATAGGCAGATGACAAAAATCTTGCTTGCTGAAAGTACTGAGGACTTGAAGTACTTGCTAATGAAGATCCAGATTGCAGTCTTCAGTATGGATTACATCTCAATATAAAGAAGTACCAAAATCCTCACAACTGGACCAACAGGTAACATGATAAGTGGAGAAAAATTTTAATTGTCAGGGATTTTGTCTTACATGGATCCACAACCATTGCTCATGGAAGCTTCAGTCTAGAGATCAAAGGATGCATTGCAATAGATAAATCTGCTGCAAGATGTCTTTCTCAACTCACAGTGACCCTATAGCCTGCTTTATAGTACTTAAAAGCAAGGAGGTTAATGTGAGGATTAAGGTGTGCTTAAAGGATGCCATGGTATTTTCAATGGCCTCATATGCACGTGAAAGTTGGACATTGAATAAGGAAGAGTGAAGAAGAATGAAAGCACTTGAATTATGTACAGCCAGAGTACTCCTTAGAGGCAAGGATGGCAAGATTTTCTATCATGTACTTTGGAAATGTTGTCAGGAGAGACCAGTCTCTGGAGAAGGGCATCATGTTTGGTAAAGTACATAGGCAGCGAAAAAGAGGAAAGTCCTCAACAAAATGGGTCAACACAGTGGCTATGACAATGGGCTCAAACATACCAACAATTATGACGATGGCACATGAAGAGGCAGTTTTTCCTTTTTTGTACATAGGGTTGCTATTAGTCAGAACCGACTCGACATGTAACAAAAACAAACAGTGACCTTGATGGGTTGGAAACAGCTGATTTCTGATCCCTTTACAGAGCAATGATGCATATGGAAGACTTTTGAAGGCTAAGGTCTGTAATTCTTCCGTATCATTTCCTGCTGCTACAATACTAAGATTCAGCCTCAGGACTGGAAAAGTCAAGGAGAAAGCTCCTCTCTGATGTTGGCTTTAACCTCATTGTGACTCTGGATACATATTAGAACCACCTGAAGAGATTTAAAATAATCTTGAGTCTTCACCCACACCAGTTTAATCAAAATATCAAGGACTGAGTTCAGGTCTATGCCGCATTTTTTGTAAAGCTCTCTGGGTGGAGCTAATGTCTCCTGGGTAGCGTAGTTTGTGTTCAAGTACTGACCTGAAGGTTGGCCGTTTGAACCCATCCAGCAGTGCCACGGAAGAAAAGCCTAATGATCTGCTTTTGCCAAATTTACAGCTAACAAAACCATATGGAAAAAAAACAAACAAAAAACAAAACCGTATGGAGCAGCTTTACTCTGTACCACCCGGGGGTGCCATGAGGTGGAGTGACTTTAACACAAAGGTGTTTGATTTGTTTTGAGTGGTGCAAAATGGCAACCAGAGTTGAGAATCCCTTTCAGGGTTTCACTTTATAACAGAGCCCTTGCTCAATCTGTTCCCAATCTTTTTTCACCTGCACCTCCACTCCTTGTACTCCTTTGCACTTCTTCTATGCCCACATACCTTCACATTATGATTGATCACTTGTTTAACTAGGTTCCTCTCCTATTTATGTACTGTTTACATAATGACCTCACTGACCTGGGACCATGTATAACTCATTGGAGGTAATAATTACATACACATAAGAATCACCTGGGGATCTTGTTAAAATGTAGACTCTGATTCAGTATATCTGCAAATTCTCAGTAGGGGTTTGAACTTGAATAAACTAGCTGGATGCCCTGGTTGTAGCATGGATCAGTACTTTGATCTTTGCTATTGCCAAACAACATTGCAGTGTGAGGCTATACCACATTTTGTTTATTCGTCCTTTCTTCGATGAACCTTTGGGTTGTTAGCACATTTTGTTTTATTTTGCTATTATGGATCATGCTGCACAGGATTGTACATATTTTGTGGGGACAAAGATTTTCATTTCTCTTGGATACATACCTAGGAATGGAATCATTGAGCTGTAAATTTCACCTTTCTAAAATCAAAATCCAAACTCATAATCAGGGAGTCAATGATGACTCATAGCCACTCCCTGTGGGTTTCCAAGACTGCTACTGTTGACTGGAGTAGAAAGCCTGGTCTTTCTCCCGAGGAGCTGCTGATGGCTTTGAACTGCCAACCATACGATCGCAGCCCAATGAGTAACCATTACACCATCAGGGTTCTTGTTCTTACCTTCAGAGTATCCAAACTGTCTCTGAACCTCATTGTCTAGTTTCTTTGATGCTGCTGTTTCACTTTTGTCGGGTGGCCTGCACTTAGGCAGGAGGCCCATGATCTTTAAGCACTTTGCACCCCGCCCCTCCAACTCTCTGTCAAATGCTATATGAACGGGTGGCGTGGCTACTTTCATATAGATCCTTCTTGTAATTTAGCGTCATCATTTCGAAATATGAGGAAATCTGGGAGCAAAAAATGGAGCTCCTTTAGGGGAAGCCGGTAGATACCTGTGGTGGTGAGGATTTGTGCTCTGAACCCCAGGGTTCCTGACCATCTCTCCAGCTCTATCTCTGGCCACCTGTCACCATCTATTCCTAGCACACACAAGGCCTGTCTGTTGCCAAGGACATGACTACTGGACAACTTCTATGGGAGAAAGCCCTGTGCAGAGCCCAAATACAGAGACGGTATTGTTTTTCAGGGACTCCAATAACCTCTTGTAGCCAGGTACAGATAGCACGGCATATGTAAGGCCCTATTGCACATAAAGAAGAGACTTAAATGTCACGGGGGGACTGGGGGGGCGCGTTGCTGGATAAAGGCTCTATGACCTCTCCAGCTGCCTCCAGTCTCCTACCCTCTCCTTGGCAGGGAGGGTTCTGAACCGGCGCGGGATTGCCAGGGCGGGCAGCCTTCCAATCCAGCACAGTGGTTGCCTGGCCTGCTTCTTTCTTGGGAGCCCCCGCAGGGTGCGCGCTCATGTACGCACCCGCGGTGTCGCCTGCGCGCGCGCACGGTGTCTGGCAGCACGCGCGCTCGCCCCGCCCCGCCTCCTTCCCCCTCCCATGCGCCGCCCACCGCCCGCTGCCGCCGCCGCCGCCGCGCGCGCTCTGTAGTATGGCATCGAGGAGAATGGAGACCAAACCTGTGATCACCTGTCTCAAGACCCTCCTCATCATCTACTCCTTCGTCTTCTGGGTGAGTGGCCACACTGGCCCGGTGGCCTGGTCACCATCCCTCGGTGCAGAGATTCTCTCAGAAAAAAAAGGGGGGGGGGTAATTAAATCTCGGTCCGCTTGGTAAGGAGGCGGGTGCTGGGTGGTGGGCCAGGGCTGCGGCGGACCCGGGGGCCGCAAACACCCTGCACCCCTTCCAGGCGGGGGTGGCGTGGTGGCGGTGATGCTGTTTGCGGACCTTTACAAATAAGACGTTTTACAAAAACTGTATCGATTTCCTTTTTAAGCGTGCGGGATGGGGTCAGCCCCTAAGGAAAGTTGCGGCTCTATTCGTCTTCTGCCCCCGTTCGCCACCCTTGACCAGACTCCCATGGCGCGTCTGGGGGCTAACCTGTGGCGGGATGGAGCCCAAATTCCCGTTTCTTCCTGACCCCATGGGGCTGCGGGAGGGAGGCGTCCGGAGCCTTGTGCCTGTTTGGGTGGTGGGCATAAGCGACCTTGGTCCCTCCAGCGCACTGATGGGGGTGGGGCGGGGGCTAATGGCACTTCTGTGGTGAGGCAGGGAAGAGAGGGGCTTACATAAGCCAGGGGCATCTCTCTGGGGGCCCCCCGGGGTGATCGGGCGGGGGTTTTACTACCCTTCTCTGCCCTCTTCCACTCTTCCAATATCTATCTGGTAATTCTATAATTTCGGGAACCTAGTCCGCAGCGCCCAGGAAGAGGACCCCAGCCACTTGGGGAAAACCTTAGAACCCCAACTCCACTCCCCGTTCAGTGCAGCCACCAGTCCTCCAAGCTCAATGCAGAAGGGTGACGTCAGCCCCTCAGCCCGGCCACGGGGGGCTGTGTGGTGCACCTCACAGAGGGATGCGCCCTGCTGCGCGCAGGAGAAGGTGGGGGCTTCAGGATTGAGCCTTACCTCATCCTGTTTGGCAGTGCGTGGAATCGGTGCAGGGTTGGTACCGCAGTGATTCACTTGGAGAGGTGGGTGGTACCTAGGGACCATTCCTCGCTGTTTCTCTTTCTGTGCAGATAACCTCCCCCACCGCCTACTCCCCAAGTTCCCCACTCCTGGACCAAGCTACGGACACCCGTGGGGGAATGAATGAATGTTTTGCCAGAGCCTCTCGGCGCCGCCCCCGCCCCCCCCCGCCCCAATAATCTGGGTCATTTCAGCTTCCAAGGCAGTCATTTTGAAACCTGAGACTCTGTAGAGCCTTTTGGTTGTTATTCTCGAACTCCCCCCGCCCCTCCAAAAAAAACCAACAAAAAAAATCTAGCCCTAATTTTGGTTTGAAACTGGGCCATGGTATTTTTTTTGAGGTGCCTAGAATGGGCTGGGTGGTGAACTGGATTGTTTGTAATGATCAAGATAAGAACTGGGGTTTATCTTAAAATGTAAAAATACATATATTTTTTCAAATGCCCTCCAAGGTATGTCCTTATCATTGATATTGACTGTTGTCCAGGTCGAGGACGCTGTGGACCTTGGGGATTGGAAGCTCGGCGCTCCACGAAGAGGTGGGATAGATTTATAGCAGGGAGATAAACACAGAAACCCAACATTTCAAGCTGGTCATCATCTATCACAGGAGGCAGGCCCAGAACCACCCCCTATACCTCCTCCCCCCAAACAAGAGCCAGCCCTCTTCCCAACCCCTGTCCCGAAAAACAAAACAAAATCCTTTACCAATTCCAATTCATAGTGACCTTATAGAACAGAGTAGAACTGCCCCATAGACTTTCCAAGGCTGTAAAGGTTTATTGAAAACGCATTGTCTTATTTCTCCCTGGGATCAAGGCTGGGGAGTTCCAACCTTCGCGACCTTTTCGGTAAGCAGCCAGGACTTAAAGAGTGCACCACCATAGCTCTATGGCTAGCACCGAAAGGAACCTTAAAGTGGCACAGCTGATGCACTTCGTGGTGGTGGAATTGTGAGCTGTGCTTGGATCCTGTTATCTTAGGCTCTGCCTGGAAAAGGTATTAAGGTATCCTGAAACTTCTCTGTAGCCATTACAGAGAACTGTTTTAGCTTTTAAATTTTACTTCCTGAAGTCTTTGTTTGGCCCCTAATTATTTACTTGGCTTCCTATTTGTTTCTGGAGTAAATCATATGGGTGGTTATTTTTGGCTTCCTGAAAAATAAGGTTTATGTTGTAAATGAAGGCGTGTTCTTTTAGGAGCCTGTGGTCTGGTGAAGAAAGAGGGTCTTCTAGGCTGAGGTTTTCCATAATGAGCTCTTTAATTCTCCTTGCTTCCTCCCCTCAGCCCATGAATCTAATCACTTAATACCCCCAATTCGTCTTAAACACTCACTGCATTTTATGTCTTCCAAGCTTCCTGGATGTCTGTGATTTATTTATTTATCTATTTATTTATTGTCTTTGTTATTTTTGTAGTCTTAACTAAATCTATTTATTGTCTTTATTTCCACAGTCTTAACTGTTTATCTCTGCAGCATTTTCAATTGTTCAAGTAGTATTCAAAAGTCATTCTGTACTGTACAACCAAAAGAATAAGAGATGGCCAGATACAAGGGTATTTTGAATCAGCTATTTTCATTAATGAGTTGCAATCCCAATGGAGGGCTTTCCATTGTGTTTAAAATACATTGAAAACAAACAAACAACCTGACAAATCAAATAAAAACTTCCCAGGGATGTGCTAGGTAATGAATACAAAAAAGGTGATCATAGTGTTCTTTCAATTGGCAGATGGAGGGAAGATTTAGGCAGAATTGATTTCTTTGTGTTCCACCTGAGTTGTTTTCAACTCCTCTTTCCCTCAATTTAGATGTAACACTCAAAGACATTCAGCTTTAAAATGGTGGTAGACCAGTATCTTTAAGAAGGTTGGAAAAAAAAAAAAAAGAAGGTTGATGTGTATTTTGAGCATACACTATATTACAAAGAAATTTAAAGTTGTATTAAGAATATGCAATGATCAGATTATCTGTCCTTCTCTCCAGCCTGCATTCACCCTCCCTCTCTTGAAGAGCTTCCCTAAAGCAGTGGCTCGAAGCAGAGAAGGGGGATGGCAGTATTACCTCTCCCCCAGGGGACTTTTAACAATGCCTGAAGATGTTTTCCATCATAACTGGGGAGAGTGGTAGTACTGCAATTAGGTGGGGATAGGTGACAGGTGCTGCTAAACATCTTAGTGTGCACAGAAGCAACGCCCCCTCCTCAGTAAAGAATTATCCAGCCCGCAAAGTCAATTGTTCCATCAACTTCGGTGCTTTTGTATTTACAGAGTAATAAATTCTAAAGAGGGGGAGGGGGGCAAAGGTTCCTTATTTAAAACTAAAGGAGCCCTGATAGTGTAGTGGATTAGCATGGGATGCTACCCACCAGGTCAGCAGTTGAAAACGGGAGAAAGGTGAAGTCTTCTACTCCCATAAAGAGTTATAGTCTCAGAACCCCACAGGGATAGTTCAACACTGTCCAGCAGTTGGGCTGTGAATCAGAATCCACTTGATGGCAGTGAGTTTGGAAAGCAGAACTCACTATATTTATTTCCTGGTTTGGGGAACAATTATATATCAGATAATGCCCAACAATTTTACAGTGTATCAGAATCCTTTATTCAAAGGATTCAAAGGCAGGTCATTCTTTATATAATTGTGTTCAAATGTATAGGAGAATTTATCTTGTAATTTAATAATGGTACTTGGATGTTAGGTACACAGATCCTATTTTCCCCAAGATTTGTAGTGTCTTAAAGAAAAATAAGATAGAGAAATATTTATTTTAAAGAAATGAAAGGAAAAATACCCAGACTGCAGCTATTCTGTGTTTTAAAGACTCGCAAATAGTGCCTGGCTCATAGTAGGTTTACTCAGTCGATATTTACTGAATAGATGAATGGATGTAATTTTACTAACTACTCAGTTCAATTAACTGGGGAGCTTTTTACAACAGTTTTGTTTTCAGCCCACCTATGTTGATTTAAATGTGTTCCTGCCATTAAAGGGTACAAAGACGGAATAGAGGACTTTATAAAGATATTCTTTTCCTAATGAGAGTTCAGTTATTACTCCTTAAGGGTTGGCTAGTTTGTCAGACATTTTAGATTATCTACACTTTTCATTTGAATTTAATTGATTAAGCTTGAGTTTTAAAAAGATAACTACCTCACACTAATATAAACAAAATATTCCTCCTATAAGATATATATGTATATATATGCATATATGTGTATGTGTGTGTCTGTGTAGACATGCACGCACACACACATGTAAAGAGCAAGCAGGAAAACTTCATGCTAAAAGTTACCAACTAACTTTTGTTTTGATTTACAAGTTTTAAAAAATATATTTTAAATACTGTTCTGAGTTATAAGTTAAGATTCAAATCTTTCACATTTGAATCCACTCACTGAAACAAATTTTCGTGGAGCAAAACATCCATTGCTTCATTCATGTATGGGATTTTGATTTCTTCTCCTATGGAGGTAGTTAGCCTATCCATATCCACTGTGGAGTTGATTTTCATAGAGACCCCATAGGAGAGAGTCCAACTACTCTAGAGTCTTTGAGACTATAAATCTTTACTGGGGCTTATCAATAGTGCTATCAAATTCCCTGGTGGTGAAAAGTCAGGGGGTTTTGTTGTTGTTTAATTAGGGAAATATGAGCCGGCATGGACTCCATGAAAGTGAGATCACTATTTGGAGGACAGGGATTTAAAAAACAAGAAGAAAATTTCTGTTCTTTTGTAATTCAGGAAGTATAGATTCTTGAGTTAAACAGGGGAAAAATCTTAACCAGCAGTTCTAGTATTTGAAAAGGGTGTTTGGATTTGGTACATACTAAAGTTTATACTTAATTCTTTTACATATCAGCACAATTTAACAAAGAGTTCTTAAATGTCAACTATATGCCAGGTATTGGATATTCAACAGAATGTTTATTAACTTTTTCTAGCTACTGATTTTGGCATTTTACTTTCATTTCTAAATAACAAAATTAGATTACTACTTCTTGAATTTTCAGTTTTAGGTGTTATTTTATTTACCAACCA